CTTTGAGCTTTGTAACTTTGCAGATCTTTTATATGCTCAAACAGCAACATTACAGACTAACTAAAGTTGAAAAAGTGAAAAAGCATAATAGGACCCCTTTAAATGTTTTCTTTATAACGGTTATGGGAGGACGCTTAATTCACTGCGTTGAGTTCTTATTCTGTACCATTCTGCTTGCCTGTAAGCTACATATTTTTTTTTGTGTTCGTCCATTATAAGCCGCATTAAGAGTTTTCTTTATAATGGTTCCCTCTCGAGCTTTCACGAGACAAATTGGAGATATTTCTCCGTTATGGGAACTCATTCCCTTCCAATCTTTCCTGAAGTCCTATTGGCTCTTGCCAGTCCAAATGACTGGCCAATTGACGCGAAGTATGCAAATCGCATGCAAATACTGACGAGCTCGAGAGGCAGTATAAAATGCGGTGAACGCGACAATTACGTCAGAATCTTTTACTTCACCTGTTGAATTCACTATGGCAACAATCTGCAAGATCTGCGCGGGACCGATAGAGCCGCCGGATCAGCACGACTACTGCGTCGCCTGCCTGGGCCTGGCCCACGCCGAGGCGGCGCTGGACGAGTCCAACTGCGGGCATTGTGGGGACCTTCCAGCCCGCGTGCTCCAGACTCGCCGCGATGTGGCTCGCGGCCTATTCGGGATGAGGCCCACTGCCACCAGCGTGCCGCTATTGGGCCCTCCCAGTGACGGGAGTGTCGTCTTGTTGCTCCACCAACCCCAACGGTCGCCCCGTTCCCCGGTCTTACTCCCCGAGGACTGCTTCTGCCCTCCTTCCAACATTGCGGCGTTTGTGTCCTTTAGCCAGGAGGAGGGGGATGACTCGATGTCCATCTCGGCCTCGGAGAGGGAGGATTGGGCGGGATCGGAGTCCGATCAGCCGGACAGCATGGGGCCCCAGACCTCCAGGAGGAGCTCATGAGGGTTCTGTCAAGGGCTGTCCAGGAGTTGGAGCTTACCTGGAGTCCTCCAGAGGAGCCTGCCAGGAGTAAGCTTGACTCCTGGTATTTCAGGTCCACCCGGAAAGCTGACTCGAGGACGTCGGTCCCCTTCTTCCCCGATGTACATGAGCAGCTGGTGAAAACATGGTCTGTGCCCCAATCAGCGTGCGTCCACTCTGCCACACAGGCCATTTTTTCCCATGTGGATGGGGCGGAGGCCCACGGGTACGTGCGCTCTACCCCAGTCAAGGAGACCGTCGCTGCGCACCTGTGTCCTGCAGCAGCCAAGACCCTAGGCTCAGACATCAGCCTCCCCTCAAAGCCTTGCAGGACTACCACCCACCTTGCCAATAAAGCGTATGCGGCTTCCGCTCTGCACGCCATGGCAGTGCTGCAGGTTTTTCAGGCGAAGCTCCTGCAGGCAGCGGAGGGCGGAGCCCTCACGGCAGAGGCCATTAAGGATCTGCGCGCGGCGA